CACACACACACACACACACACACACACACACACACACACACACACACCACCAGCTCAGTCCACAGAAGGCAGAGATGGGCCCAAGACAAAACTCCAGATCCAAACACCTTCAGAACTTGGGCAATTCGGGTCCATATCCGGAAGGAGATCCTCAACTGACATCAACAGATCTATGTCAGTTTACACCAGTTTAGGACCTGACCCCCTAAATTTAGTAGTAGAAAGCCATCTGTAACAACATGGATAACAATGGCTGAACAACACATCTTTTCATTTTAGCCATCTTTTATCATCAGAAGGGACTTCCTGGTGCTCCTTCTTTGATTTCATTCAGAATGTTTACCCCGCTGTATTAATTAAACAGAATATCCCAAGGATACGGATTGAATAATCTGCTACCTCTTTAAACTGATCCGAATAAAGGGTGGAATTTGGGTTATTTTTACCACAATTATTTATTTCTTTAGGTTTTGATCAAATTAAATAGAAGCTCTAATTAACCAGTAATTGAAGTAACTGGAAGGAAATATATATATATTTATTTATATGTTGATTTATTACACGCCCATCAAATAGTATGTAGCTGTAGGTGTACAAAAGTTAGACAAGCAGTAAATGCTCAAACAACATGGCCATGTAACCATTTAGTTCAACATATATATCATACCAAATGTGACATTATAACAAATAGAGGCAGTGTGGCCTAGTGAACAGAGCTCTGCCCTAGGACTCGGGTTCTATTCCTGGCTCTGCCTCTGGCCTGTCAGGTGATGTCACTGCTCGGTGCCTCAGTTTCCCCATCTGTAAATCCAGGATAATGATATTTATCTTTGTAAAGCGCTTTGAGAACTATGGATGAAAAGTGCTAGATAAGAGCTGGGTATTATTATCATTACTCTATCAACTCCTCCTAAAGCACTGGGTGAAACCCTAAATGCAAATACTGGGGAACTAATTGCAAATTTATGCCTAAGTTAAGCACCTGCAGCCTGTATTCTGGTGCTGTTTGGCACATAGATGCCCAAATTCCATTTGACATGCCTAACTGGAGATTTGTAAGCCCAGATGAGGCATTTGGGCGCTCAGTGTGGGTGCCAAAGTTTGGAAACCGCACTCTGTAATTCACATCATCATCATCAGGCGCACACACTGCTGAGAGAAGCAACATAAAAGTGACTGCTGATAACGAGGTCTAATTAATCACATACAGAACCTTGCTGTGATCAGCACTTGGGCAGACACCATGCTAAGTATATATATATAGAGAGAGAGAGAGAAATTAAACCCTCAAGGCTATTAGAGATGGGCCCAAGTCATAGAATTCAGATCGGGGGTAGCCGTGTTAGTCTGTATCCAGATAGTTAGTCTACTATCCACTGGACTCCTTGTTGTTTTTGAGAATTCAGATCTACAGCCAGATTTCAAATCATCCAAAGCTTAATGGTGTTGGATCCTTACCAGTGTGCAAAGACCACTCTGTCTATTGTATAATGACCAATATAATCTTATTGTTTCTTTGCATTCCCCTGTCTGTCTGTATCCACCTGTTTTTCTTCTCTTACAGTTACATTGTAAGCTTTTGGGGGCAGGGATTGTCTCTCTGTTCAGTGTTTGTACAGAGCCTGGCACAATGGAGTCCTGGTCCACGACTAGGGCTCTTAGGCGCTACAAATAAATAATAATTCTGGTTTTAGTTTGGCCCATTAGAGATAAAAGCCCACTGTGAAATTCTCATCTGAATCTAAAACTCCCACTAAACCCCTTGGAGTGTTCCTCTTGCCGCAAGTCTAGTGGCAGGGTAGCACTGGTATCTCTGTGTGGCAGATAAGTAGTTTTTACATGAACATCATGCAATCTTTACACACTTTCTCTCTCCTTTCTGTGTTTAGTCTCTGACCAGCCTACCATTATTTACAGAAAACTACCCATCTTTCTTTCTCTGTTTATTTGCTTAGCATCAACCTGTGAAAACAACATGCTATGCATCTTCTCCGGGAGACAGGAGAACACAGAAATGTTACACACTGCCAGGCTTCTTACTTTCCACTTCGTCACAAGATCCTCTATTTGGAAACTGAGAGTTGAAAGAAGAAGTAGCTTGTTGGACACAGAAGGATTCTCATGTGACTCATTCCTGTTCTGCAAGACACACATACATCATTAAGCAACAGCCCCAGAACTAAATGTGCTGCTCAGAAAGGACCGCAGTCCGGATAGGCCAGGTCTCACTCCTTTCAGGGAGTTAATCAGGCTGGACTCCAACTGAAAAATGCCTGAAGCTAAAGTGCTATCTATACTTGGCCAGGCACTGAGTTAGCAATAACTAGCCAGCCTATAATTTGGTGACAAACACAATTTGGCTGGCCAGCGTGAAAGAAACCAAATCACATTTTAAACCTCCTTTAAAAAGAGTGATCTACCAAAAGAAGAGCATGCATGGGGCTAGATCCTCAGCTGGTGTATGGAGCGACACTGATTTACACCAGCTGAGGATCTGGCCTCACACGGGATATCTAAGCAGCTTCCATTAGCGCATTAAGCAACATGATTAACATCTGTCACATGTGGTTTGTTCTCTCTCTCATCCTCTCCCCAGGGGAAAAAATTGTATGTGCAGAGCAATGCTTTGTTTTGGTAGGGTTTTGTTTCTCTGTTTGTTTCAACCAGAGCCCAGCAAACAGAGGAGACCTTTTTTTTCTAGTGAATATCTACTCAAATTCAAAAGACTTTTTTTTTCTAACCACCTTTGCAGCCCTTTCACATTCAGTGAATATCTGTGTGCTCCCAAGTTAACTAGCATGAATTCTTGAAAATTCATCAAAAGTGAATTTCAAATTGTACATCTGATTATAAAATTTGCCATTTGTGCTGAATAGGTTGGTTTACATCCCCGTAAGTCAAATCGTGTCGTTTCTGTTCTCTCGTTTATATAACTCAACAGCACAGCAGGAATTGTGAGTTCATGCTGTCTCCGTGACATAAATCAACCAATCAGTATCCAGAAGAAAAGATACATGACTTATGACATCAAGCAACACATTATGAAATGACAAGATCTGTAACATCCTGTAGACCAAGAATTAGTGAATAATTTCAAAAAACAAATAAAACTCGTGAATTTTGCAATCTGCTCAAAGACAATTTGCAAATAGAAAAAAAAAAGGCTAAATTCATCTAATGAGTTATTCATTGGGGAATAATTGCTCCTCTCTACATTAAAACATTTGGTCTCATCCAAGCATCTAAAG